AAGGTAGCCGGCGCTGCCGCCTGCACCGGCTTGGCGGCAAGTAGTGGACAGTTGGCCCTCATGTGACCAACCTGATCGCAGTGATAACATAACCTCATACCCTAAGCTGGGGCGGCCTGGCGACAATCCTTAGCGTAACGCCCCTCCTTTCCACATTTGTGGCACCCACTACCAGCCCGACATACACCAGAATGACCCTTGCCACACTTCCCATAAGTACGGCTCTGTTGACCTCCGGTTCTAGTATCAGCGGTCTTAGACCGCTTCAGTGCCGGCTGTGACAGTGTCGGGGCCGACCGCTGCTCCTTTAGCTGCAGTTCAATCTCTAACTCCCGCCGTCTGGCGGCCTCCTGCAACTCCGAAAGAGTATCACATCATTGGGTAGATACAAACTGCCGGATATCAATCTTGAGCATACTCAGATAACGGGTCATTTGAGACTGCTCAGAAGCAAACTCTGGACAGAACATCGCCCGCTCGGTGAACATACTGGTGATCTCCATCACCGAATCTCCATCCTTTCTCAAGCTCAGAAACTCCTGTGCTAAGCATTCCCGCTCAACCCTCAGAATGTAACGGGCGTGGAACATATCCCTGAATTGCTCCCAAGTAACGTCAACTCTCTGATCATCAGTGTACCCCCAGTCGTAAGTCTCCACCAGTCCTTGGCCCCGGACCTAAGCAGGTTCAGTGCACACCTGACCTTCTGGTCAGCAGGACACGAGTTGGTGAAGAAACACCCCTCCACATCTGAAATCCATCTCATAGCCTTGATGGGATCCTGCATCCCATCAAAAGTAAGGGGCTTCGTGTTATCGAAGTCTCTATACTGAAAACCCATACCAATTCCTCCCTCTATCGTAGATATAGCTGATGCAGCTGCTGCTGCGGCGACTCTCTGTAAGGGCTGCGTAGCGCTCATCAAAATACTCCACCATGGCAGTCTTAATCGACCCGAACATTTCCAGCAACTCAGCCTGGAACAACGCATCAACCTCATCGTGCATGATCGCTCGCATTTCTAGGATAGGCATGCAAATATTTACAGTTTCAGAATGAGACTTACAAATTATTTTTTATAGAAATATCGGATTTCTGAAAGCACTATGTGAACTACTTTAAACAAGTACATAACCATTTTTATACAAAAATTCTTATGAACTCACCAACTTTTTAGTTGATGCTTTTCAAAACGACTTGTATTCTCAGGGATCTAGTAATAGGTAATAGGTAATAGGCTCGGCTATGAGATCAAGTGGTGCGACTTCAAGAAATTTTACTTTTTTACTTTTTTGTAACAAGTTCAATATGTAAATTATGTAAATGTGTATTTCCAATGAATGATGTTTGGTTGCTATGTATCATTCATATTCAATTGTTATGATACTTTACATGAAGTCATCCGCCCCCGGACGTTTTCGCCGTCTTGGTTCGGAGGTGTGACACAACAAAACTCGGCATCTATTAACCGAGATACCAAGCCGCGGGGTTGGCCTGGTGTGTGCCGAGGATGCCAAGCCCCTCGCCGAGCCCACACCCACCAACCTAATTGAATTCCTTTCGACTACTAAAAACAATCATAAAATTAAAATCTATTTTTAATCAAAATTTAAATATAAAATGTTACATATGCTAAGATCACATGGTCATGTGTTTACATAGTTAGTTTTCAAAACAATAACATATTTTTGTTTTTAACTATAACCTGCACACTTCTAAAACAAAATTTGAACGTTCTTTTATTTTAACCCAAATAATAACGTCTGTTGAAAGGAAACTAATTTTTGGCCAAAAACTTATTATCGGAATGAAACAAATCCCGCTTACGCATCGCATGGGTACACTACTACTATAGCATATCATCATCATCAAATTATGCATATAAACTTTAGAAAGGAAAATAGCAAAGCATATCATCATCATAACATATAAACATCTCTACATCAATCATAACATGTCAATACTACATGCCATCACTACACAGTATTCAAATATAACTTCACATAAAATAGTATGTATATTATACGCACATGTCCTAAAACAAAAATAATAGTAAAAAACATTTATACAGATGTGTTCGTAGAAAATGTTAGTAGAAAATCAACTACGAACTCACCATAAAAAATCACCATTTACTCGTCTACCAGAACCATAGGAATTGATCACATATATACTTATATCTAGGCATGTAAACTGTTCTAGAACCGGACCGGAATAAAAAAATCAAAAATCGAGTAAGCCGTAAACTAAGAACCAATACCAAACGGATACGGCTCGGTTTTCAGTTAAGAATTCATCCTTGCCTATATCATCACATTGCTAATAAATTATACAGATGTGTTTGTAAAAAATGTTAGTAGAAAATCAACTACGAACTCACCATAAAAAATCACCATTTACTCGTCTACCAGAACCATAGGAATTGATCACATATATACTTATATCTAGGCATGTAAACTGTTCTAGAACCGGACCGGAATAAAAAAATCAAAAATCGAGTAAGCCGTAAACTAAGAACCAATACCAAACGGATACGGCTCGGTTTTCAGTTAAGAATTCATCCTTGCCTACATCATCACATTGCTAATAAATTATCAACGTATTAGTTTGAATTTTCCCCACCTTGCTATGCTAATTGATCCATCAAAATCATAAACAATCAAACTTTGTATCGAAAACGACTACATAATTGAAAATCACCAAAAACGGGTAACATGTAATAGGTCCGGGCGACCTACTTACCCGTACAACACATGGTGTCGTAGTGGACCAAATTGGGATAAAAAGAATTAAAATGTGGTCAAATACAGCCACAGGCTGATCAATAAGAATCCTTGAGGGCGGGCTTTGTCGTTTTGATGTCCTCGTTGCTTCTAAATATGGTTTTCGTGTAGAAAGTGACAATTTTATGTTGTAAATATGATCTAGAGATGATTTATGGCATAAACCATTATCTAAAGTTATAAAGTTTTAAACCTTGTATATATCGATTAATTACCGATGGAATCGAATCAAGTAGAGGATTTAAGCGGTAATAAACTGCTCAAAAGCAATGTTTTAAAAACCAACCGGGAACCGGAGATGAAAGGGGTAGGTTTTATGTCAATTTATATATCGGATTAGAAGGTTTCTTCAAAACTGGGTTGAATTGGTACGATAGAACCGATAAAAAACCATTTGAATCAACTTATTGGATTTGGACAATTAGTTTTCACTCAGCCTCTTAAAACAATCTATTTCCGAACGAATTAAACAATTCGATCGATCAAGTTATCCACAGTGTACACAACACAACTTGAATATCGACACACAACACTATCCGACACGACTTTGATGCACACTTAGCACCCGTCCGGCGTTGATCTTCTTAACTTAATACTTCTCAATTGTTGTGTTAATGGCTTTATGATATAGTTCATTATGATAAATATATATGTTTCTGGATATATGTAGGAAAATAAAAAATACATAAAAGTTATGAAAACCGGATTAAATCAGCGATCGAAGTGGTTGAATCAGTTGAACTAGGATCTAGTCAGTTGAACTAAAAACCGGTTTTATACATTACTCAAAAGTGTAAAATCACAATTGAGAGGTGTGTGTGTGTGTGTGTGTGTATATATATATATATATAGAGAGAGAGAGAGCTAGAGAGAGAGAGAGAGAGTTAGGTTCCGTTGAGATTAAAAAGTAAAATAGAGATCTTGAGATTTAACCTCAGCCACATATTTCACATCTGCCGTTCTAACCCTCCAGCGTACCAGCATGTCAGACCTGTCCTAATCATAAATGATTATATTGCGCCATCCGTTCCTCTCTCCTCCGCCACTATCCCCACCACCATAACCGTCATTGCCACCACCACTAACACCATCTCTGGCACTAGCCGACCCCACCACTGCCACCTCCGTCACGTATACCACCGCCATCTCTATCACAACCACCTCTTCTGCCACCAACTGTCATAATCATATATGATTACTTAGTCTGTGAACAACATATATATATATATATATTATATATATATATATATATATATAAACATTTATGATTAGGCATATACATATAAAATGTATAATCATATGTGATTATACCTCTCTGTCATATAATCATTTATGATTAGGCATACCCCGCAGCTGCCGGTATGCTGAAGCGTTAGAGTGGCGAATTAGAAATATGTGACTGAGGTTGAATCTCTAGATTTTGACATTTTTTTAATCTCAAGTGAACAGTCTCATATATATATATATATATATATATATATATATATATATATATATATATATATATATATATATATATATATATATATATATATATATATATATATATATATATATATATATATATATATATATATATAAGGCAATGGGGCATCGTAGGGTTCCCCTCTTAGGCATGTTGGACTTTTAGTTTCAATTTAGAAAGTAATCAACGAGATACATTTTTGTAAATAATGAATTTTTTTTAACTATTGATATACGTTTACGACGGTTAATTATGTGTGTCATAAATCATAAATCATGACAGCCGTTTATGACAGACATTTTAGTGCGTTGTAGTTCCTCTGTGATTAAAATCCTTTTTTCTAGTAGTAATATATATAAGTTGGAGAAAATTCTGATCCATTCTTTATTAAATTAGGAAACCTGGTGATATTGAACTAAAAACCATTTAATTAAGAGCTTTTAGCTAAAGTAAGAATAGCTTAATAAGAACTCTCCCGAAAGTAGGAATATATACCTTAATCTTGGTTATATAAAAAGTAATTTATTTGAATAGAAATGTTTAATAAGCTATATACAAGCGTTTATTATTTACTTAACATGGAATAAAATGTTTATCTATTATTTAAAGCATACTTACGCGTCTTCCTGGAATTGTTTCAGCTCCATTTCTAACGACTAGTAAGTACAAATAATATATATATATATATATATATATATATATATATATATATATATATATATATATATATATATATATATATATATATTTTACCTGAAAATACTAAAATGAATAACATGGTTCAAAATAGAGTATCAAACACAAAAGAAACTTGACGTGATAATAAAACAAGAAAACGTTTCCTCCTATAACTGTTCCCAGTAGTAGCATGATCAGCGCTTTGACTTAGTTGCAAGTTACCTTGAGCAGAGTGGCGTTCCTGTTCAGTCTCCTTGTAGAAACATTTCGCAATGCAATAGTAGACTATGAAGTTTGCCGAGCATAGATACACCAAAAGTCGATAATACTTGTCCAGACGAGTACCATTGTTGACATCGTATCCAAACCACCCTTGGGTCTTTAGTATTAAAATGAGAAAAGTGTTAACCAATATTCCAAAGCAGATCACAACTTCCATATACTCCTCACGATAACTCTTGATGGGTTCTTCTATTTGTGACTTAAAAAAGTTTAACGACCCTTCCTCAGCAAGGCATTCCATGCATCCAAGGATGCTGAATTGAGGCACTAACCAAAGAAAACTAATGGACGTGTCATCATCATCATCACCCTGCTTAGTGACTGCTTTCAACCTGGAAACCTCTAATCTCCATGCACAAACGCAAGATATGACAGAACAAAACATTCCAACACCAATTTTAAGCTTCTCATTTTTGTAGAAAGGAGTCCAACTATACATAATTAGGATAGCGAAGCCTGAAGTATCTTGAATCACATCGAACATCTGGGCGGGAATTTCCTCATTGCCTTTAAGATTGCTGAACTGTTCAATATAGAAAGTACTCCCGGCTGCTGAAACTAAGGAGACCACGATTAACGTTCCCCACATGGGAAACATCCTTAAGAGGCTTCGTACCACCTTTATATCCTCTTTGTAAGAACTATTTCCTCTGTATTTTTTCCCATTTGTATCTAAATGCGGTGGAGATCTATCCAGTGCAATCCCTTCATTTTCTTGCCTTCTAGTTTCTGGTAGTTTTTCTTGTTCTAAACTATTCATGGAACATCTACATCAAAATGTGGAATTTAGTTTCTTTTGCATGTAAGAAATTTATTGACAATGTGAACAGACCTATGAAATAACTTTGGTTTGATGTCTCAAATTGGCTTTGAAATTACTTTTTTTTAACAGAAAGCACATACACCCTTTAACCCACCTTTGTCCACAAAAGGACTTTGAACCCTCGAAACCATTAAGGGAGCACACCTTGATACTGGTAGAAAAAATTACTTAAAAATGCTCTGTGTTAGGAGGTGATTACTGTACGTATGATTGATAGTTGAATGAACAATTTGATGTTTCAATTTTCACTACTAGCTAGAATATGTTCCTGCGAAAATTTCCTAGGAATGCCAATAATACAAGGGTTATTTTTGACCAAAAACCGAACCCAAACCGAATTAGTTCGGTTTTCAAAAACTTAAACCGAACCCAAACCCAAACCAATGTGTTCAGTTTTTTGGTTTTCGGTTTCTAATCGATTCTGTTTCGGATTTATCGGTTTTACAACCACATAACCTTCAACCAAGGCCAAGTTCTATACGTAGATGAAAATATTTATATAACTGATATGGAGATGGCAACTTCTGTGTTTGAAGTGATGTGGGTAGGGCTATAAACGAATTAAACGTTTAGCGAACTGCTCATGAATTGTTCAATGAAAATTTCATTTATATTTGTTTATTTAATAAATGAACAAACATTAACATCAATTTTCGTTCGTTTAGTTAAACGAACGAACATGAACAATGGTCTCGTTCATTCAATTATGTTCGTGAACGAACGTTTATATCGTTCTTTTGCATTCGTTTATGTTTGTTCATATAAGTTCCTTTTATGTTTATATATGCTTAATTGTGTTTGATTATAGTAGTATATTATATGTTCATTTATGTTCGTATATATATTCAATTATGTTTGTTCCTTTATGTTCGTTTGTTAATGTCAGTTTAGCATGTCCACGAATATAAACGAACGAACATGAACAATATAATTTGTTAAACAAACGAACATGAATAAGAAAACTCATTCATTTATCTATTCATGTTCATTTATTTGTTCGACTAACTTAAACGAACGAACATGAGCAAGCCCTATTCATGTTCATTTACAGCCATGGATGTGGGATGAGTATAGCCGATAGCAAATGCATACCTATTAGAAAGAGGAAGAGTATAGCAATTTTTCTATCTTTCCAGCAATGTGGGATCGGGAGTTTGGCTTGAAATCAAAAATGAAAACAAGCGACAGCAAGAAAACTAGAACACGTAACATATATATATATATATATATATATATATATATATATATATATATATATATATATATATATATATATATATATATATATATATATATATATATAGAGGAAAATGACTTACAAGCCTAACGAAGTTTCCAAACGGTTCAAATAAACCTCAATCATATTTTGTCTGTTTAAAAAAACTCAACCAACTTAACTTTTTATTTAAAAAGTCCAATAAAGTTCCAAACCATTTAAAAAATCCCAATTTTGTTTTGTTTAAGTTCATTGGGGGTTTTTTTGAACAGTCAAAACATGATTGGAGTTTTTCAAACGTTTTGAAAACTTTGTTGGTCTAACAAGTCATTTTCCCGATACGATTAAATCACATCATCTGTTTCTCTTATTTGACTTTCATGAAAGTGTAACTTAGTTGGACTTTTTAGACAAAATGTTAAGTTTGTTGGGTTTTTTTGAACATACAAAACAAGATTGAGGTTTTTTGAACAGTTTGAAAGTGTAACTTAGTTGGGCTTTTTTGTGTCGTGTCGTGTTCGTGTTACATAAAATCTTATCGTGTCGTGTCGTGTATAATACGATTTGCCACCCCTAGTGGGAAACTCATTAGTACCTCGTACAAAAGACTTTTCTCAAAAATATTTGGAAAATTCTTTAGAAAATTTCTGGGTAATGTTTTTTGTTAATTAGAAGGGTTTTTCCGAAAATATGAAATCGCTCGGAAATCCTTAGGAAAAGATTATTTTCGAGAAATTTCCTAGGAACTCCCACCTTTTTCTAGTAATGAAAATTAAAGATGTGAGGATAAACAACTTAAGATATTACCTTGACTTGGACTTGAGTAGCTTTTGTACTTTGGCACGAAACACTCTGAAGAATATTTCAACGGGTCTTTGAGTTAACTCATGTTGATGATACACTTTATGTCCTGTACAAAAAATAATCAAGGCTGCTATCATGGAAATAAGACAAATCAAGAATGTAGTTCTCCAGGTTGGTTGAACGCCCCCAAAAGCGTCTGGGGCAACCCACAATATTGAAGCAATCGCACCAAATGCATATGCTATGCGCCACCAGATTGCTCCACGTGTAAGAGAACGTTTTTTAGTTCGATCTGCTGATGTATCAATTCCATCTACCAAATCAATAAGTACGTGTTTTAAAATAGCGTCCCCTGATTTTCCAAGAGCCTGGAGAACCAACGCCACGACAATAAGCCATGTCACATCATAAGGATTGAATATCCATAAAATCAATACACCCTGTCGCAATAGACATATATGTTAAAATTATACCATAAATTTCATGGAAACACTAACAAGATTTAGAGTACACTAAAGAAACGACGTAGGTAAAAACTCAGCAATGACAAACTACATGTTGTAAAGGGAAAAACCAACTCTTTTGTGAACAGTTTTTGTAGAAACTTGTTGCAAACTTAGAATTTTAATTAGGGTTTAGATTGATTAAGACAGCTCGAATGATAACATCAAAACAAAGCTTATTTCCATTACCTATAATCAATGTTTGCCCAGGTGCGAAGGAAACAATGATTAACTCTCCATGTCAATATGTTAGCTCTAATATGGATATGTTATAAGTACTTAGCAAAGGTTTGTGGGGTTATTCATGACTCATGAGTAGAGAAAGCATTGCATTTAATGATGAGATGAGTTTTTTTTTTTTTTTTTTTTTTTTTTTTTTTTTTTTTTGCGGTGTAATCCAAACCGTATTATTAAAGCATTTAGTGGTGCGTTTTCGTCTAACAGTAGTATAAGCCATTAAAAACGCATTTATTGGTGCATTAGTTGAGAACCGCACCATTAAACACCATAAAATGACACCATTAAACACCCAAAAACAACACTATTTAATTTTTCATTTTCACCTAAATATTTAATTCTATTTTTTTTTCATCTCCCTGCCAAATCTTCTCTTTTGGCTCCAAAATTTTCAAATTATATACTTGTGAAATGAAGCATTGTTGTTTGTTTGTTGGTGGTCTACTCATTCAAGAAAGAATTATACTTCCCTCTTTGTGATCTCCCATCCTCTGGATGATGGCAACTTAGTAAGTTCCCCCTCTTCTTTTTAAATCTTGCCAATGTTACAACTTTTTTTTTTTTTTTTTTGTTTGTGTGTGTGTGTGTGTGTGGCTATAATAGGTGGATGTTCCTCCATCTTGTATTTAAATCTTGATCACCAATTGTTTGACTATTTTTTAGGAATTTTTTTTGGTGCGGTTTTGCCTATTATTTTTGGTGCGGTTTTGGCTATTTTTGGTGCAATTTTGAAATCGTGCCATTAAATAGAGGTGTTTTTTGCTATGATATTTGCTGGTGTGGTTCAATACCACCACCAAATAAACAATTTAAGCGCACCTTCAAATGATTTACACTGGTGGTGATGGTTTTCAAGTTACGATGGCAGTGGATTTTTGGTTAACGAAGGTGGAAATGGATTTTTTGTGGTTGTAACAAGCGTATGTTCTAGTGGTGTGGGTGGCTGAAAAAGGGTTCTATGCAGTTTTCTGGTGGTGTGAAGATGGTGGTTGGTGGTGGTTTGGGTGGCAGCTAGGTATTCGACAATGTGGTGATGTAGAGGGTCTCGGGTGTGCTAAGGAAAGACTTCACTTGTTCGATGCAAACCTACTTTAAGAAGGTTCCTTTGATGTTACGATTGATTGTTGTGATGTAGTCTTCCATACAACTTCTCCTTTTTTTCACGTTAGTGGCAGATCCATATGTTTTGTTTGGTTACATGAGCTTATACTAAATGACATGTTTAAAGTTTACGAGATACCCAAATACTTCACTTTTTTTTTTTTCAAATAGAATTTGTCGAAACCTCTTAAAGTTGTAGTTAAGAAGAAATGATTTTCGATCCAGAGTTTTGCAAGGAAGATGATGATGTTCAATGGTGGGGTTTTTATTTAATGGTGTGGTTTTGGTTATTTTTCAGGAATCCTTTTTGGTGCAATTTTTTTTAACACCCGCAACTTCAGGCTAAGATATAATGATAATATAAATCATCGATTAGGATTTCATTAGTCGTGCAAGTTGTAGACTACATATTATAAAGCCATTTTTAGTGATTTACCGATAATCAACGAAATGCCAATCTTGATATAAGATTATTTAGGAAAAATAATCTTGAAGGAAAATGTAGGAGTTGCGATATGAATCTCGTACACATAAAACACACTCAAATTCGACTTCGTATACAGAGGTTATAGACTTCTGAAGTTTCACGAGCAGTAAGTATATCGTAAATGGTAAATTGGAGATAGTTTGCTTATTAGCCCAAGTAATCTAAACAAAAGTCGTAGTAGTTGTAAAATTGAGAGCGTACATATAAAGAACGTCCAAATCTGACTTTGTGGGAGGAAGTAATGATTTTGCTAAATTTTAGTGCAACAATTTACAACACTGATATCGACATTTAGATCGGTTGATTGTTAGCCGGAACAATCTAAATGCAAATCGAAGATCTCATCAATAGGAACCCGACAATATAAAGATAGATGAGAACGGATATCGTATGAGAAAGTTATGATTTTTACACGGATTTTAACAGTCTAAGTCTATTAAAAATAAAGTCAAAATTAGTCGACATAGTCTAAATGAAAGGTGTTGATCTCATTGTATGAGAAAATTATGAATTTTCTAAGAAAATAGAAAAATTCATGCACAACCTCGCACACAGATAGAATGTGCGGTGCGCACTGCCACACCACCCAAAATGCTACATGTGGCACCATGTAGAGAATAATACGTCACCCTTGTCCGACCAGATGTACGGTGTGCACTCTATCTATGCGCAACACACATACTTTTCAAGCCTATATAAATCCTCGGAAATCAACTCATTTATCATCCCAACTCCACCCGAATCCTTTTGAGCTCTTTCCACTCCTTAGTCTCAATACTCCCGATTTCCCAACCCCTTTAACAAAGCCCTACGGTGTTAGATAGTCGGTGAATAGAAGCTTCCGGATCAAAGTTATGCCCACATAAATTCCCGGTTTTCGCTAGTTATGAAACTAGACTAAGACTTAGTGTTTTATACGTATAGGTCTCTTTGGTAGTGTGAAGCGAACCACTGCCGAAATCGCCAGTCACCCATTTCATCATGTGAGTGCATAGTCCATTTCATGAACATATATTTAATACAAGTATTTATTGAATGTATTAAATATCTGTTAATTATATGATTATTTCCTAGAATATATCTAGAAATATATATGTTTATATACAAGATGCGAACCAGATATGATTCTATACGTGTTATAGTATAAAGATAATTGTTGGATTAGGTGTCTAAGCCCATAATTATAATTGGTATAAACTTGAATTGATGGTAGTAGAGTCCTTTTGGGTTGCCCTCAAACCTAACGATTGGACAAGATATTTTGGAGAGAGAGGTTGATTTATTATTTGATTAATAAATTGAAATAGACAATTTATTAATATATTGTGGGAATGATATAAATTATAAATAGTAATATTTAATTAATATTTAATCATAAATTAATTGGAATTAATTTTGAGATTAAAAGAAATCATTAAAAGTGCAGGGACTAAAGAGTAATTGTTCAATAGTTGAACAAGAGGCATTATGGAACCTACCTAAAGGCTTGGACGGTTTTAGGAGGCTTTAGTGTTTCTAGAATTATCCTTGGAGGATAATCAGGAAGCTAGATAATTACCAAAAACAAGATAATATTATTATATTGGTTTTAGAATTATCTAGGGTTTCCTTGCTGCACTATATAAAGACCCCTAGGGCTTCATATTTCGGCCACTCATACCCTAGAGAGCTAGGCCTAAATTCTGATCTCCTCCCTCCTCTTTCCTCCATATCTTTCTTGCTTAGGCATGACGATTGTGGTGCTTGCTTCCAAAGATCAACAAAAGGGATTCTTGGTTCTTTACTTCAACAATCAACAAGGTATCTATTCTTACTAATGAATTCAAATTTTGTTAATTTTTTTTGTAGTTTTATAGTTCATAGTATGTTGCCTTTATGTGAGAAACATAGATCCTTCTTAGGTTCCATGTGACCTAATCATTTAATTGTTAAATATTTTTCCGCTTAGAGCATTGTTTTTGTGACCTCAATAACCCATCAGTCGTATCCGAGTCTATGACTATCTTTCATGTGATTGCACATTGGTGAATTAATCCAATTTTTTTTAATTAATCGCATCTCACGACATGAGCATTGATGCTCACGAGGTGAGATCTAAGCAAATCAGATTTTTCGAGATTACCTGCCTAATCTGTTTTGTTTGGTAATTATCTACCTTGAACATCTTCAAAATCCGATTTTGTTGAATATTTGATGATAAGTTACAAGCTTTAAAGTTAGGAGATAAATCTTTGACTTGGTTAATTATTTTATTGATTAATATGATTAATTTTTTTAAGTGTGTAAATAACTGATTTAGATATTAATTGATCCTAATAGCTAATGTCAAATATCATATGGTTTATATTAAATTTAAATTATATAAAATTTTGAAATTTATTATAAACCTAGTATTTTGAAAAGGTTTTAAAATACACCTTATACTATATGTAAAATTAAAAGTTTAATTATTACTATATGTATAAGACTAAGTAAGTTGAACTGCTAGTATGCCTCATTCACGAAGCAGATCTATAAGGGGTATAAGGAAACCACCTATAAAATGTTAGTTAAATGGGTGTCCACTCTCACCCATCACTTCCTTGATTAGTGAAAGGTTATTAGCCGAACGAGTTTGATAGAACAATTAATTCTCACTAAAGTATAATGATATTAAAAAGTAACTAAATCCTTTTATTTTAAATCTCAGTCTTAGTTACTTTAGGAAAAATGTGAATTTGTATGCTAGTTCATGAAATTTCACATTATACTTTTGTAACATCCGGATTTTACCAGGTATAATGTAAGTTTAATTGTGTTATATTGTGAGAGGGACTCGGCGAGTCGGGGCTTAGACTCGCCGAGTAGGGACGCGGGGATTGATCGAGGGTGCGCACTTAGACTCGGCGAGTCCAGGTATGGACTCGGCGAGTCTGCGCTGTGTTATGAAACCCTAAATCTCCGGGTTTGTGGCCTATTTAAGGGGCCTTATGGCCGTCATTTGCGCTCACCCAACCCCCAGAGAGTGTCCCTAGAGTTCTTGAGCGTTGTGTGAAGGAAAGAGAGCCAATCTTGATCTTGTGTGTGTTGTTTAGCAAGAAGAAGGAGGCCCTAGGCAAGAGGAAGCAAAGGAGGTTGCTATTTCGTGGATTGGAGCTTAGATCATCACTCTAGAGGT